GTCAAATGGGTACAGAACAGGGATTAGATAGACTAAGTAAGATTATATAAACAATGTATATACTGAACTGCATGGCACAGATTAAAAATTCAATAAACGTTCACTATTGTTTTTGGACTGGGAATCGAACTTAGGATTTTGCACTTGCCAGGCACTATTATTACATAAAGTGATAACTACAGATACACATCTGACCAGGGGTGGTGGTACCTGTCTGTAATTCTAGCACTCAGGAGGCTGAGGCAGGCAGATGCCAAGTTTAAGGCTAGCTTGAGCTATATACTGAGTTCAAGGCCAACCTGTACTACATAACAGGACCTTGTCACAAAACCACTCCTAGTTACTCAAAAAAAGGAAACACATTTGGACCTTAGGAAAAATGATACCTGTAAGTCAGGAAGGCACCAATCTAGAGATTTTTAGCAGTAACGAAGAACAGTACACCCTCCACCCTTTTTTTATATATGTCAGGTACAGACACGTAATAATATCTGAGTCCTGCACTTTGCCTCTGGGAAGAGGATGAGGTGGCTAGAAAACAGACTGCCAGGGTCCAAGGACATCCCTAGATTGGGACCTTGGACATAAGGTCTCCTGGGTTTTGTTTAGTTATCCTCCTGACTTCTCTCACTGAAAGTCTGACTGTCCCTGGAGCTAAAGGGCAGCAAACTGCAGGACCCTGGTGCCTTAAAAACTTGGAACAAGTCCCATTTTGTCCTCCAGCTCCATCCCAGCCTGAAGGTTACAACCTAGGCTAGTTCAGGCAACTGCCAGGGCTGGAAGGGTGGGGTCTGCCGCGTGCCTGCCTGCCAGCTACTGTGACTCATCCTTCCCTTCCCTCGTCTCGCTTCCCTACCCACCTCTACCAGCTTGGGGTGAGAAAGAAGGCAGTTGTCTTGGAGGCAAAGAATCCGAGCGGGAAGTTACCAATCCCCACATTTTACCAAGGGGGAAACGGAGGCCCAAAGAGAGAATGACTCACAGGGTCACCACCAGACTCTAGAACACCCTGCCCGTCTCAGTCCGTCCCACTAAATCTTAGTGCTTCTCATTCTCTAGATTTAATTTGACACATCCATACTAAAATTGCTTTGTTTTGTTTTGTTTTTGTACGGGGACCTTGCGCCCGTCAGGCAGGCGCTTGTGCCGCTGAGCTACATGCCCGGCACTAAAACTGCTGTTAACCAAGAGATAAATATTATATCCAAAGCTAGTGCAAACATTTAAAGTTTCCTTTTCACTTCAGTGTTCATTGCTCACAGTCCAAGTCATACAAATACACTTTTTTTTTTTTTTTTTT